AAACTTAGGTTCACACAAAAGCCTGCAATCCGATGTTTATAGCAGCTCTCTTTATAAATGCCCAAACTTGGAAGCAACCACACACCCTTTAGTAGGAGAATGCAAAAGTAAACTCCAGTTCATCCAGAAAACGGAATATTATTTAGCACTAAAAAGAAACAAGCTGTTGGGTGCGTAGGTGGCTCAGTCAGGTAAGTGTCTGTCTTCCTCGCAGGTCAAGATCCCAGGCTCTAGAAATGGAGTCCCGCATCGGGCTCCCTGCTCAGTGAAGAGGCTGCTTCTCCCTTCCCCTCTGCTCCTCACTGCTTGTGCTCTCTCTCTCCCTGACAAATAAAATCTTTAAACCAAAAAAAAAAAAAAAAAAGGAAGAAGTTTAAAAAGAAAAGAAATAGGGGTGCCTGGGTGGCTTAGTCATTAAGTGTCTGCCTTCTGCTCAGGTCATGATCCCAGAGTCCTCGGATCGAGCCCCACATCAGGCTCTGTGCTCAGTGGAGAGTCTGATTGAGGATTTCTCTCCCTCTCCCCCTCCCAGTTATGTGCAAGCACTCTCTAAAATAAATCAATCTAAAAAAAGAAAAAGAACAAGAAGAAAAAAACCTCTCCAAATGACTAAAGTTTGAGAAGCACAGTGATCTCTTTGTTTAAGTTCCTGCATCAGATACTCAACTGCCTAATGAACTGATAGAGTCAAGTATCCCACAAAGATCCGACACTCAGAAAGTCACAAATTGATATAATCTTCCCTCTCCTTCAAAGTTGCTCATCTTGGGGTGCCTGGACGGCTCAGTTGGTTAAGCGTCCGCGTTTGGTTCAGGACGTCATCTTGGAATCCTGGGATGGAGTCCCACATCAGGCTCCTTTCTCCCTCTCCCTCTGCCCCTCCCCCAGCTCCTGCTCACTCTCTCTCTCAAATAAATAAAATCTCTGTAAAAAAGAAAAGAGAAATCTATGTTCCCTGCAGCACAGGAATAATACCCATTTTCCTCTTTTTCACTCTGTCTCCTCGTTACTTGGCTGCAGAGGCAGACACAGCTGCAGGAGGTACAGAGCAGAGGGGAAACTAAAGGTCTCCCTTTTACCCGGAAGACCTGAAAGAGGGGGCCTGAGAGCCAGAAAGGGTAAGAGAGGGAGCTCAAGAAAGTGCTCCCATTAAGTCGTGTATGAAATCCTGAGCTCATCCCTGAGTTGTGCATGCATGGATCTGACCCTATATACCACACTAGAAACTAAAAACGGAAACACAGGGGAACCCACTGCCCAGGTGCGGAAGGGCCAGCAGGAGCTGCATATGCAGGACAAATACTGGAGACCTACAAAGGCTTTAAAAACAGGACTGTCCTAGGGCGCCGGGGTGGCTCAGTGTGTTAGGCCTCTGCCTTCGGCTCGGGTCATGATCTCAGGGTCCTGGGATCGAGGCCCGCATAGGGCTCTCTGCTCAGCGGGGAGCCTGCTTCCTCCTCTCTCTCTCTGCCTGCCTCTCTGCCTACTTGTGGTCTCTGTCTGTCAAATAAATAAAATAAAATCTTAAAAACAAAACAAAACAAAAAATAAAAACCAGGACTGTCCTAGAACCACGTACATAGGAGAGAGGTTACAACTGATGGCCTCAACTTACCCATACTGACAACAGGCCTCAATACAATGATTGTCTCCAACAGAACTTAAACAAGACCCAAAGTCTTAAAACGTGAAAATCAATGGGTTAAAATCCAAGTTATAAGACATACAGAGAAACAGAAACATTTCACCATCCTGTAGGACAAGACAACCCAGCTATAAAACACACTTAAAAGGCATTTATGGGGGTGCCTGGGTGGCTCAGTGGGTTAAAGCCTCTGCCTTCAGCTCAGGTCATGATCCTGGGGTCCCGGGATCGAGCCCCACGTTGGGCTCCCCGCTCAGTGGGGAGCCTGCTTCCCCCCTCTCTCTGCCTGCCATTCTGCCTACTTGTGATCTCTCTCTCTGTCTCTGTGTCAAATAAATAAATAAAATCTTTAAAAAAAAAAAGAAAAGAAAACGACAGAGAATCCAATACATAAATGAGCAAAAACCTTCAAGAGGCAGCTCACAGATGAGGCATAATCTAAAGATAAGAAAGAGGTCACTGTCCCCTGACCCGGCATTTCAGTCCCAGACACAGACCACAGGAAATCCGGCCAGTCTGTGCCAGGATGCAGGGACAGTGGTAACACGACTTGTGACAGCCCTAAAATGCAAACAACCCACGAAGGCCTCGATAATAGAAGAAAGAAATGGGAGTGCCCACATGCACGATGAAACAAACTACTGGAGTCATACACAAAATGCGTAAGTCTGAGAAGTAATTTTGAGAAGCGAAACACAGTACACACAGTATGGACCCGTCTTTACATATATATAACTTTATATATAAAGTTCACAAACATACACACCTGAGCTGTGGTGATTAGAAACACAAACACTTGACAAGTCTGTCAAGTAACCAACAGGGCAAGTTACTCCCATTAAAGTAAGGAGAAGGCTGCTCTGGGCCTTCTGTGATCACAGAGCGCTCGCAGACACCCGGCGGTGTTCTGCTTACCGACCAGGGTGGTGGTTACGTCAGTACCTTCCAATCATTTGTTAGGCTGCACATTTACGTTTTATGCATTATTTCTGTGTGATATGTCACCTTTCTACAGAAGTTCTGCACTGCAGCCAACAAAGCCAACCGTGCGGCCTCCCCATGGGGGGTCTGGTGTGCGACGGTGGCAAACAGTGGCCTGCTCAGTAGTGTACGCGGCCTGTTGCTTATATGTGTTGCCTTATAGGACCCTAGACACAGCTTGTTCTGGTGGACACACATCTGAACTCATGCTGCCCCCAATACAGGCTCCAAACAGGTATGTGGGGTGCCCTTGGGAAACCTCGGGGCACAGTGGCCAAGGTCCACATAGGCCAAATCACGTCCATCCATACCGACGGGCAGAGCAAGTGATGGAGGGCCGACACAGGGACAAGTTCCCTGGGGCTGCCGGAAGATCACATCTCCAAGAAGTGGGACTTTACTTGCTTTAAAGGACAAAAATTTGAAGCCATGATGGCTGAAAAGCTGTTCAATGCAACTGTCTGTAGGGTCAAACACATCCCTAACTGTGGCCTCCTGGACAAACGATGGGCCCTGTGCTCATGCGAACCTTAGCACTGCCCCCTCCTTATTCATGCCCACCAACAAATCCTACTTCCTGTTAAAATAAGGGGGAGGAGGGGTACTAGAATGAACACATAAAAATTCGAAGAGCTGTATTAAAGTTGTGGAGGGACACCCGGCTGTTTCAGTACGTAGCGCATGTGAGTCTTGGTCTCGGCCTCAAGAGTACAAGCCCAACGCTGGGCACAGAGATCACTTAAAAAATAAGTGAATAAATGAATGAATGAAAGAACGAATGAAGTAGTGGAATTAGAGACAACTTTTCTACCTTTGTCCTCTACCTCACTTCCCTTGTACATAGTTCTAACAGTTTTATTGCTCTTACAAGATTAAGAAGAGGACACTGTTCTTCAACTCCTACTGGAAAAGAGAAATCTCCCAGCACCTGCTCCAGTTCATGACTTCCGCCCACACCTGCTCTCTCCTGCCCTCCTGAAAGTCTCTGCGGCACAGGAGAGTCCCTACCACCACGGCTCTCACAGCTGCAGCTGTTTCCATGGCACCTGCTCCTGTCCCTCATCAGGCTCTCCGAGCCGCTGCTTCTCTGCCCGTGTAAGCATTCCTCCTGCTATCTCAGGGACAGGTCACGTACCGCCATTAGAAGCTTCAGAATCAACTGAAGAACGTGCACAACTTTTCATCGATGTAGAATTTAAGCTCCGTAGATCTTCTGTGTCAGAATCTTCCGGGGGGGGGGGGGGGGGGAAGGGGGAGCATGGCCATTTATTTTTAAAGAGCTTCACCAGCAATTTTGTTATTAACCCAAGGTGACATCTCAGTCTCATGGCTTTAATTTTTGCTTAATACTAAGATTCCCACATGTACATCTCTAACTGGAACTGTTTCCTACCATATATTCCAACAGCTTAGTGCAAATCCTCACTTAGAAATACCATCCTCTGCCTACACCAACCTTATCTCAAATGAATTCATCATTTTTTCTCCAAAACGGATCCTTTTCCTGTCTTTTACGTTTCTATTACTACTATCCCTGCACATTATCACATAGCCTAAAACACCAACTGGAATTCCTTTCTCCTTACTGCTGAACTGCAAATTTGAGGACACGTAGTGTAGTTACTTCCAGACCTATTTTATCTCACTAGGCTATAACTTCTTTGATAGTTATTACACTCTTTTATACTTTCTCCTCTTTGTAGTACCTAAGAGAAAGTCTTTTAAATAAATATTAAGAGAGGGACGCCTGGGTGGCTCAGTCAGTTAAGCCTCTGCCTTCGGGTCAGGTCATGATCCCAGGGTCCTGGGATCGAGTTCTGCATCGGGCTCCTTGCTCAGTGGGAAGCCTGCTTCTCTCTCTGCCTCTGCCTCCCACTCTGCCTGCTTGTGCTCTCTGTCTCTCTGACAAATAAATAAATAAAATCTTTAAAAAGTAAATAAATAAATAAATATTAAGAGAATGTGTGAGTGAATGAATAAACCCATCAACTGACCAAAAAGTAATGAATTAGTCTTTCCAAGATGGTTAAACAGAACAAAGTTTACAGAAACAATATATACCTTTTAATTTAGGCAACAGAAACATAGGTCAGTTTCAAGAAAGAAAGGGAGAAGTCGTCAAAAAGAAATGAAACTTAGAGCCCAGACAGAGCTCACAATGGAAAGAAAGAACACATCTGTCTGTGACAAAACAGGGAAAGGATAAGAGAACTGAAGATAGACTGGTAAGAGGACGCAAAGTGGTTCCTCATGGGGCTATGGACAAGATTTCATAGTCCCCATATGTCTTGTATCTTTAAGGGAAAACTTTACAACCAACATATAAAAGTATTGCTTTATCCTGGATTCGCTGGGTTGTTATTAACTTACTCACCTGAAAACAGATCTCTTCTCACATCTCCTTTCTCCAGCCAGGGGTCTCTCCCTTGCTCCAGTAAGGAAACCACATATGGCTTAGAAATGTTAAGACCTATTTGTGGAAAATGAAATAAATTCAATTATCAGTCCTTGAGTCCCTAGAAGAGGGACATTAAAAGAAACGCCAGATGTAAATATGAGAGATGTCTAAGGATTAGGTGGTTATAATCCATTTTGAAAAATAAAAAACCGGTGACTGGCTGTCTCAGGCAGTAGAGCATGCACCTCGGGTTTTAAGTTCGAGCCCCACACTGGGTGTATAAATTACTTATAAATAAAAATCGTTTAAAAAAAAATGTGGGATGTCTGGGTGGCTCAGTGGGTTAAGCCTCTGCCTTTGGCTCAGGTCATGATCCCAGGGTCCTGGGATCAAGCACCACATCAGGCTCTCTGCTCAGCAGGGAGCCTGCTTCCCTCTCTCTCTGCCTCCCTCTCTGCCTACTTGTGATCTCTGTCAAATAAATAAATAAAATCGTTTAAAAAAATAAATAAACCACCAAAAAAGGTAGTAACAGTAAAATGTGATAACAAGAGTCTATCCGGGGCGCCTGGGTGGCTCAGTGGGTTAAGCCGCTGCCTTCGGCTCAGGTCATGATCTCAGGGTCCTGGGATCAAGCACCACATCAGGCTCTCTGCTCAGCAGGGAGCCTGCTTCCCTCTCTCTCTGCCTGCCTCTCTGCCTACTTGTGATCTCTCTCTCTCTCTGTCAAATAAATAAATAAAATCTTAAAAAAAAAAAAGTAAAAAACAAACAAAAAGAAAACTAACACCCCCCCCATGGGAATATTTAATCAGAAAACCAAGATTCACGAAGCCATCCCAAAGTTCAAATTCTGAGAGGAGGAACACACTTACCCAGTGAGACCAGGTGGCCGTAGTTCTCCAACATCACATGTCTGTACAGATCCCTCTGAGCAGGCTGGAGCCATTCCCACTCCTCCTGGGAGAAGTCAATGGCCACATCTCTGAAAGTCACTGACCCCTGAAATGACATACAGTTACCTGCACCACCGACACCCAGGATCCCGAAGATGCTCGTCAAGGAGTAGAGCGAGGCCCACAGCGCAGAGCAGACAGTGGACACAAGCAGCAGCAATGGGAGCTTTCAGAATTCTAAGTGATTGGTAAGACTGTAAGTAAGAGCCTAGCTGTTTCGTTTTATTGTATAACTGAAGAAAAACAGAAAAAATAAAAACAATTTGTCCTGAGATCATTTACAACTTTGTGAAAGATAAAGGCGTATACATGTGAACAACGTCAATTCCTGGCTTTTTGTTGCGGAAGTTCTTAGAATCTTACAACACTGAATGAATAGTGAAGACAATCCCTTTGTGTGTAACAATGTTTACTTTCCTTAATGGCAGCCCTATTTTAATATGATTTGGCCAAGTTTCTTCCTGGTGACTGACAAGGGAGCAGAAGGCAAGCTGGGGACAAAGCTCAAGCTGACACCCCCAGGTGGGTTCTCCGGAACATTCCTCAGGCACTCCTGGCTGCTCTAAAGCTAAGGGAAGGGAAAACAAGTGGTTCATTTACAGCGATTAAAGTTCTGCGAGACGTGGGTCTCCCTCGGTTCACAAACATCTTAGTGATTTACAAGAAAAAAGTGTTCTTTTTTTTTTTTTTAAGATTTATTTATTTGACAGAGAGACACAGCGAGAGAGGAAACACAAGCAGGGGAAAAGGAAGAGGGAGAAGCAGGCTTCCCAACAAGCAGGGAGATGTGGGGCTCGATCCCAGGACCTGAGGAGAAGGCAAATGCTTCACCAACGAGCGCCCAGGTGCCCCAAGAGAAATGCATTCTTACCAATAACCTAACTTCTGGAAGGAAACTCCCAACTGCCTCAAGGACAATGGCAAGGCCTCCAATACCTTGTAGGTCCTCTTCAGCATACCAAAGTTCTTTTGAAACCCTCCCTTTTGGGGCACCTGGGTCATTCAGTTGTTAATCCGTCTGCCTTAGGCTTAGGTCATGATCCTGCATTGGGGTCCCCGCTCCAAGGGAAGCCTATTTCTCCCTCTCCCTCTGGCTGTCTCTCTGTCAAATAAATAAATAAAATCTTAAAACAACAACAACAAAAAACAAAACCCTCCCTTTTCCTTTCCTCCCCCAACTCCCCCGTATGTAATCAGTCATCCTCACAGCTTGCTGCAGCAGCTCTTTCTGCCTACGGGTCCTGCCCCTGGGTTTTAATAAAGTCACTTTTTTGCACCAAAGACGTCTCAAGAATTCTTTCTTAGCCGCTAGCTCCGGCCCCCACCTACATTCAAAAACTTCATCAGTAAGAACTGACTACAGCAGACAGCAGCAGCACCCCTGAAAAGGGGCATGCATTCAAGTGCACCACAGCTGTCCCCACTCCCGAAGAAACAGCTGTGAAACTGAGGGGTAACTCGAGCAGTGTCACAGACAAGCAGGGTGAGCAGCCAAGCCGTAACGACTGCCCACGGAAGAAATGCAACACCTCCCGGGATGGAACCTAAAACTCTTCCCCTCAGGGCTAGCGCTAACAATAAGCCCCACTTGGCAGTCTGGTTTTGCCGGGCTTAAATAATCCACATAATGATTAAGCATGGACAGAAATTTTAAAAGGTACCAAACTAATAAGAGCCCCAGGTGTAGGGTAGTTATATTTTACAGTTTAAAAAAGTTGTTTCGGGGCACCTGGGTGGCTCAATGGGTTAAGCCTCTGCCTTGGGCTCAGGTCATGATCCCAGGGTCTTGGGATCGAGCCCCACATCGGGCTCTCTGCTTAGCGGCCAGGTTGCTTCTGCCTCTCCCTCCGCTGCCCCCCAGCTTGCGCTAATAAATAAGATATTAAAAAAAAAAAAAAAGTCCCCTCTGCCCGTCCTCCCTCTCCCACCAAAAAAACGTGTTAAAAGACTATGGACAAATAAAGCTATTTCCCAAACGGTGGACTCTGCAGCGCAGACGGAAACGGCACTGCCCAGCAAAACTCGGGGAGCATCTGGATCTGGAGACAAACAGGACACGAAGTCGAGAAGTGGAATGAAAGCAGGGCCCCTGAGTCAGGAGGGTCGCCTTTCATCCCCACGGCGGGGAAGCGGCACTGCCGCAGGCCGTGCTCTCCCGCGCCAGCCCCGGCCCCGGGACTGGGAAGTGACTACCGAAGCACAGCCCGGAGCCGCACAGCCAGGGTCTCCGGTTCAGAAGGTCCGGGCCGGAGCTCGGGGACAGTCACCCCCAGGAAGCTCCCCGGTGACGCTGATACTGCTGGTCCGGGGACCCCACGGACACAGGCGCCGGAAGCAGGCGCCGGACAAAAACACGGGGGTAAACGGGCCGTGGTCCCAGCTCTGGGGAAAGGAGGCAGGGCCGCCTCCGCCGGCTCCCGGGCTGCCCAGAACCCCGCCGGCGCGGAGAGGGCTTTGCGCGCACCCCTCACGCCCCCGTCCGTGCGAGGCGCCGCAGGGCAGCCCCGCGGGCCGGGGGCTTTCGGAGAGCGCCGCCCGGCCTGAGCGCGCGTCTGCGTCCGGAAAGAAGGGGATGGGGCGGCTTACCTGAGGCATGGCTCGCGGCCGGCGCGGGGACGACGGGACCGGGACACGGCAAGGCTGGCACGGAGAGAACGAAGCCCTGAGCGCGCGCCCCACACGGGCCCCTCCGCCCCCCAACCACGGAGTGCGTCCGGGCAGCCCTGAGCTGACCCACAGCCCCGCCACTCCTCCGCCTTCTACGGGGTCACAGGACGGCGCGCTTCCTCGGCGCCCCCGGCCCGGTGGGCGAGGCGGTCCTGAGCCCCGGACGGAGCCTTTGGCCCGGGCCCCCCCGGAGGCGAGCGCGGCGCGGGCAGGGAGGGCCGCTCTACATACCCGGGGCCGACGCGAGCCCGACTTTCGACTGTGCGTCCGGGCACCCGCCGCCAGGCTCGCGCGAACTCCGCCTGCCGGAGCCTCGGCGACCGGACCCTGACCAGGCCGCGGGCCTCGGACGACTACACGTCCCAGCACCCACCGCGGCACCCGGGCGAGGGCGGGAGAGCTGCCCTCACGCACGACGACTGCCGGAACGACCCGCGCCTGCGCACATAGCAACAGAGCCGGCGGGCCTCAGACAACTACACGTCCCAGGACCCACCGCGGCACCCGGGCGAGCGTGGGAGAGCTGCCCTCACACGCGACGACTGCCGGAACGCCCAGCGCCTGCGCACTCAGCGCCGGAGCCGGTGTGCGCCGTGGTCCCAGGACCCAGCGCGGCCCGGCTGTGAGGACCCTCACAGACGGGGACTCCTGGGGCGCCCCGCAGGGGAGTTAATGGCGCCTTGAGACAAATACCCTTGGTCTGTTACGGCTCCCAGAAAGCTCCATGTCCACAGCTGAGACCTAGAGCCTAACCGGGAGCGACTGCGGCCGCAACGCTTCCGTGAGAGACCCGCGGCATGGACAGCTGTAGTAGACCGAGTCCCCGCGTGAGGGACTGCGGTCCCGAGAGACTGGCGCATCCGGGCCGGCGATGGCCCCCTTGGGCCGAGCCCAGACGCTGCAACCCCGGGGCTGGCCCCGGCTCCTCGTTCTCGCGGTTCCGAGCCGCCCTGACGCCCTCCGGAAAGATGAGCTGGAATGGCGGCTCCGCCAGAACGACCGGGAGCTCCTTTCCTCCCTGCGCCGTGGGGGTGATGTGGTGGCCGCCCCGCCCTAAAAGAGCTCAGAGCCCGGGTGGCGGGAGGAGGAACTGTCCACCTAAACGTGCAGGTTCGCTGAGAGGCGGCCCCCGGGGGAGCACGTAGCCGGTGGAGGGAGCGGCTTATGCGAAAATACTTGCAGGCAAGAGAGAAAGTCCGTGATCGAAAGTGGAAAGAGCGAAGGAAGAAGGGAATGCGCGGATGGTCGATCACTGAGCCGAAGGCAGTCGCCCAACCCACCGAGCCACCCAGGCGTCCCTCGGCTTTATATATATATATATATATAATATTATTAATATAATATATTAATTATATATAAAATATATAATTATATAATATATAATTAACATAATATATTAATATAATTAATATATTTATATTATATATATTATATATAATATATTTTATATATATATATATATATATAGCAAAAATTACCAATCCAGGTGTCCATTAACAGGTGAGTGGAGGGGCGCCTGGGTGGCTCACTGGGATGAACCTCTGGCTTCGGCTCAGGTCATGATTCCGGAGTTCTGGGATCGAGCCCCGCAGTGGGCTCTCTGCTCGGTGGGGAGCCTGCTTCCCTTCCTCTCGCTGCCTGCCTCTCGGCCTACTTGTGATCTCTGTCTGTCAAATAAATGAATAAAATTTTTAAAAACAACAACAGGTGAATGAGTGGACAAGCTGCGGCATAGCCATACAATGGAATGGCTGTGAAATGGCTAAAGAAAAAAGAAAATGCCCCCGATAACATGACACCGAGTGAAGGAAACCAGGTACAAAGGGTTACTAGGTGTACGACTCCATTCATACGAAACTCTAGGACCGATAAGAGAGGCCAGTGGTCGGGGTCAGTGGTGGGAGTGAAATCTGACTGTGAAGACGTGCTGGAAGTTCTCCGCGGCGTGGCAGGGGAGGTAGTGACGTAGGCATGGCCATTATTCAGAACCGGTGGCGCTTCACCTCAATATTAAATAGGTACATTTTGTCTAACTTTCATCAATAAAATTTATTTCTAAAATGTGGTCTTGAAGAAGGAATGAAAATGAATAGACTAAAATTTGTTAAAGGAACACCAAAAACAAACCAAAACCAAATAGCATGCCTAACACCACAGAAGGCAGCAATGGATGAGAGAGGCTGGCCTGGGGTTAGGGATAGGGTCCGCAACTGCTGTATCAGAAGTAGGGCCAGAAGGTGTCAGGGAAAGCGCACAAGGTCTTCGAGGCCCGCCATCAGTGCCACTTTTAGAAGTTCAGTGAACGGAAGAAAGCCAGGACATCCCTTTAAGGTAAAGGGCAAGTTAGTCAAGTCCACACTGCACACCACACCGAGGGACAGTGCCTCGTGGGCCTCTCTGAAGTTGGAAGGCAGCCTGAACGCACCCGGGCAGGGTTCCCCACTGCAGTAGTTAGTAAAGCTTCCGATTTCGAGTGGCACCTGGAGCAACAGAACTCCGCGGCAAGCATGGGATGGGTGTGAGGCATCCTCCGGCTGAACTCCCGAACGGCAGAGGTCTAGCTGTGTGAGAAGCACCCAAGGCAGAGCAGGATGCTGTCAGGAGTCTCACAGCTCCAAAGAGCTCTAGGGTTCTGTAGCAAAGCCC